CAGCCTTAGCTTGGCTTCTTTCTTTCTTTCTTTCTTTCTTTCTTTCTTTCTTTCTTTCTTTCTTTCTTTCTTTCTTTTCTTTTCTTTCTCTCTTTCTCTCTCTCTTTCTCTCTTTCCTTCTTCCTTCCTTCCTTCTCTCTCTCTCTCTCTCTCTCTCTCTCTCTCTCTTTCTCTCTTTCCCATTTATTGAAGGAGGGAGGAGGTCTTAAATACAGGCTTACAGCACAATGGGAGAACCCCAGAGGGCAGAAATTACTGATGTTTTACAATTATGCATCTAAGCTGTTAACGCCCATTATGCAGGATACACAGACAAGGAACTTCCCTTAAGCTTTCAGTAGAGTGGAACCCAGCAGGGAATTGGCATAGGGAGGATATCAAGGTCAGCAAGCAAGACAACAGTTACCCAAAATAGGTCCCCCTTTTACTAGAAATGAACTTCTGACTTAGGTTGCGTGGGACGTCAGCAGGTCACCTTACCCATCATTCAGACGCCTGCCTAGGCCACACAGGCACTCTGTCTTAGGTTGGTGAGTGCCGCCTAGGCATTACTGGTCTCTGAATACTCACTATTGTACAGGCTCAATCGTGTGTGAGCTGCAGAGTTAACTGCTCTGGCATGGGGTTTTTAAAAATACATTTTTTAAAGATTTTATTTATGCGTTTGAGCATTTTGCTTGTGTGTATGTGTGTGTACCGCATGAGCCCAGAAAAGGACATCAGGTCCTCTAAACACATGAGGTCCTAGGAACCAAACCTGGGTCCTCTGCAAGAGCAACATATGCTCTTAACTGCTGAGCCATCTTTTCAGCCCCTTTGTTTTTGAGACAGGGATACAATACATGTAGCCCAGGCTGGCCTCACATTCGCTATGTAGTGAATGGATGACCTTGAACTCCTGACCCTCTTACTTTTGCCTCTCAAATGCTGGGATTACAGCTGTGTGCCAGCACACCTGGCTCATGTAGGGCTGGGGATGGCACTCATTCTGCGTGTTAGGCAAGCACTCTCCCAGCTGAGTCACCTCCCCAGGCCCTGTAAATAAGTTGTGTTAGATCCTAACCATGCTTGCTTGTGCACACAACCAGCTCTGCTGACTTTTCCTGCCACTACAGAGTTCAGAGACGACAGACCACACCCCTGGAACATTCATTCCAGTAGGGTTGGTGGTGGGCGAGCTTGCCCCTGTAGAAAGCTACTGGCTGCCTCACTCCACGCCAGAAGCACTGAGCTGGCTGGAGGGGTGGCTGCCTTCTGTCCTGTGACCCATCCTCCAGGGCTTCCAGCAGTGCACGTGCTGTGGGCCCCTGAGTCTCGTGTGTGCTGAGAACCAGGGCGTCCGGTCTGCCACAGCGGGCGAAAGCCCTTTTGCCACTTCCCACCGCT